AGCTGTGAGATAGATGTTATTTCTTATCACCATCATAAACCATATAAAACTCTTATCATTAGTCTTATAAGGTTTTCATAGTAAATACAGTACTAGGCCCATATGTGGGTAAACGTCGATACCTGTTGGAATAACTCAGAAGAAAAATAAGTGCTGGCGGGGGGAGGAAATGGCTGGTAATAAGTAAGAGAATCAACACTATTTCTTTGAAGGCTCTTTGTTCAAAGGAGAAGAGACTCACCAAATACATTTTAATTTCATTTATTGTAATTTGATTCAAGGTGTACCTTGACCTGAGCACCTGCCACCACGAAAGAAAAATCTTCTTTCTCTGAACTAGCACTATCAGTTAAATGCCTCAGTTGAATTAATAAGAATATTCCACAAATATTGAAATTAACTAGATGCTAAACATTGTTCTAAGCTCTTTTTGTGTATTAATTCAGTTAACCTTCATAACAAGCCTGGAGAACAATGTTGCATTCTCTCCATTACACAGACTAAGAAACTGAATGCAGAAGGATACAAAAACTTCCTCCTGCAAAGTCATAGAACCTATGAAGTCAATTCTGTGACATTACACTAGTCATTTGCAATTCTATTCCCCGTAAGCCCATGAGCAATTTGAGTACAGATGTCACATCTCCTCATGTTAGTATATCCAAAAGCATAACAGTGTTCCTCTATGCTACAGGTGAATGTTTGAAGATTTGGATGAAATCCAGAGAAGCATAGGAGATTTTAAGTTGTAAATGTTTCTTTTTCTTAATTCTTGTCTCCCCTAGATAATTTTGCTCATCGAACTGCAGTTCGGAAAGCCTTGGCTAAAGATAAGGAATGGCAAGAACAATTCCTCATTCCAAATTTGGCTCTCATTGATAAGCAAGAGAGTGAGATTACTTACCTGGTGCCATGGTGCAAATTAGAAAAGCCTCCAAAAGAGGGTAAGTCATCTTCCTTCTTCACCACTTAGAATTTAGATGAATGAAATACTAAAGATCTTAAGTGATAAAAGGTGAAGTTCCATTAGCAAACAAGGAAGCTAATTCTTTATTTTATGGTAACATACTTTGATTGTTGAGATAAAATTAAATTATGCCTTTTTGTTTATTCTTAAAATATGAGTATTAAGATTTTTTTCCAAATTGAGATTTTTGTTGATTGGTAAATTTAGTTACACTGTAGAAGATTGCTGTAGCTGCTAAAGTTTAAGAAATTTCACTTTGGGGGCAGGTAATAAGGAATAGTGTATGAAGTTTTGTTATAATTTCAAAGTAATAAAACATTTAAATGTAAAAAAAAATATATTCAATAGCTGGGAATGGTGGTGCACAACCAATAATCCTTAGCTACTTGAGAGGCTGAGGTAGGAGGATCCCAAATTGAAATCCAGCCTGGCAATTTGACTGTCACTGTCTCATAGTAAAATTTAGAAAGGGCTGGGCTATATATAGCTCAGTGGGATAGCACTTGCCTATCATGTGTGAGGCCCCAGATGGAATCCCAGTATTGCAAAAAATATTTTTTTTAACAAATTACAACTAATCTTAAATCATTAAGTATATCTTTGTTCATAAAATTGACTGGGGAGAATATATTTACTGAAACTGCCAAGCTGTATTAGTGTAGTCTAACTTTTGTGTCAAGAAAGTTTCTCAGCCAGTCCCTAAAAAACAAATGCCAAATGTCTTCTCTGATATAAGGGAGATGACTCAAAATGGGGTTGGGAGGAAGAGCATGAGAAGAAAATTACCTCTAGATAAGGAAGAGAGGTAGGAGGGAAAGGGAGGGAGAAGGGGAATTGCACGGAAGATGGAAGGAGACCCTCATCGTTATACAAAATACATGTATGGTGATGTGAGGGGTAAAAAAAAAGAAGTGTGTCACATTAGATTGGGTAGACAGAAGTGATGGGAGGGGAGGGGAAGGGAAAGGGGATAGGAAGGGCAGCAGAATAAAATAGACACTAGTATTGCTGTATGTATATACGTGTCTGTATAACCAATGTGATTCTGCAACCTATACACTCAGAAAAATGAGAAATTGTATCCCATTTGATTCAAATGTATGATATGTCAAGATCATTGTATTGTCATGTGCAACTAATAAAAAAAGAAAAAAAAAGAAAGTTTCTCAGTTTGAAAATAATTCCTTAAGATGTCTTCATGCTGCTTTTACTTCTTACTGATTTAAAGAAACTATTACCTCAATCTACTTTTAAACAAAGGTCAGATTAGAAAAGCATAAACTAACTTAAATTTCTTATTATTTTCTATATTATTGCCAACTTGTAGTGTATTTTATATTATAAGAAATTTGAAACATCTATTGGGATTCTTATTCACTTATATTTCCCCTCTGGTTTCAGTACTATCTAAAAATAGTTGTCTTCTGTAGTACTGTCAAATTTTAGTTAACTTTCTCTGTATTGTTCATAATTCTTTAGTAACTCTGGAATTTTTTTCCTTTTATTGTCTGATCTTCTCATTCCCTATTTTCTTTGTCTCTACCCTCTCTATACTTGTGACTATAGGTATAAAACTTTTCAATATTATATGGATATTTAGGAATCATAAAATCCTCTTTCAGACTTTTTCTCCCCCCAATCCCTAAAAAACAAATGCCGAATGTCTTCTCTGATATGACTTCAGATCAACCATTTGCCTGCTAATTCCTGTTAAAATGGAATTCTGTAATGGAAAAATATACAAAGAATAAAATATCTGCTCTCCAAATTAAAAAGAGGGAAACATAGGAGATCACAAAATACTTCTTTTGTCAATTTATTTTCTTATAGACTTGAGAAACTCAAAATTTGACTTCATTATAAATTCTCAATATCTGTTGCATCAACAAAGTTTTATAGATTAAAAATATTTTAGATAATAGCTTTGTATATAGTTTCTGGTCTATTTTTCCTTTTCTTCTCTTTGATTAAACTTAACAAGTGGCCCTTAAACATGGACAAGAACTTTCTAAACATGAAAGCAAGGAAAAATAATGCAAAGAATTAATTAATATGACATAAATATATGTTTATATAGGTTATGTAGATGTATATATGTTAGTCCTTCACTACTGGAATCAAGCACAACTGATTAAAAATTATTTCAAGATCCTCTGTAAAATAATTATTTTTTTCCCTATTTTAGGAGTCTATGAGCTGGCTACTTTTCAGATGAAACCTGGTGGCCCAGCTCTGTGGGGTGATGCATTTAAAAGGGCAATTAATGCCCATGTTGATAGAGGCTACACAAGACTAGTTGGTGTTTTCCACACAGAATATGGAACACTCAACAGAGGTACATGTCTTCTATGGAGGTGTAATGTACATTGGTGATCTGTTTCTTCTGTTGGTTTAAAATTTATAAACTGGAAGGATCCTTAAGAAAATACTATTTTTGTCTTTTTTTCTCAAAATATATTTTTCTTGATTTTTTTTCAAAATAACATTACTTAGTTTAGAGAGATTTTTTTGAATGAAAATTTAATAAATACGTTTACAAATGCTAAACACATGGAGAAGCCCAAAGGAAAAAATTACTCATTTCCCATTATTTCAAAATAATGCATACATATCAGGAATGTAAAAACCAAAATGTTATCAGATATAAGAAGGATAGAAACAATGTATATCTATGACTGGTAATAACTTCATAACATTGTAGCATGGATGGATAGATAAATAGATAGAAAAATAGATATAAAGAAACAAATTTTAATAAAGCATATCTGGAGCATTTAACTCTTAAAGCTGAATATAATTTCAGTGAAAATTTCAGAGAGGTTTTTCTGTGGCTAACTCTAAAATATCTGTGTAAAGTTCACCCATTGGATAGAAGATTAAGAAGAGCTAATAAAATATTTGAAAGATCCATTGTATCCAATTGCCTTCTCTACTTTTCACTTGAATGTTCAATAGATATCTCAGGCCTACCCCAATCAAAGCTGAGCTCCTGATCTTTACCCAGAAATTGACTAGTCATATGTCCAAAGAAACTAACCAGAATATATTTTTAAAAATGTATTTTTAAGATGAGGAATATATGAAGAAGATAAGAATTGTGAATATTATTAGATTTCTATCTCCCACCATGTATTAAAATGGAATGTAGATTCAATGTAAAAGTCAGAATTGTTAAAATAAAATATCAATTAATTTTGGTAATAATACGGATGGAGACTATATTTCTAAGCCAAAACGTAAATGAAAAAACTATGTAAGAGGAAAAATATCAACTTGATGCCTTTATTATACAAAGGCCTAAACTTTCCACATGCTCCATATCAGCATGAGTAAAATTCAAAAGCAAAAAGGAAAATAAAAATTTACATCAAGGTAGACATACAAGTAACAACCACCTATATGTTAAAGAAAATGCAGATTAAGACATACTGAGATGTCACATTTTAATTAATGTGCTTATATGGATATACTATTTGGTCAGGAAAAAATAAGTATTCATATTTTGTACAAATTCATATTAATCATAATTAATCTTAATGACATTTGTATTATAGATATACATGTAGGTACTGCTCTAATGAGGTTTATGCCAGCTTTGTTTATAGTAGAAAAATACTGGAAATAACACGGTTTGACCCTGTTTATGTAATAAATAAACTCATAATTCTTAACTAGAAATATATATAAATTCTGTATATATATATGGTGTAGATACAGAAACATAAATATTAAGTGCATACATACATATAAATATGTAAAGAATATGCCAAATAGAAAAGTGGTTGTTTCAGAGTGGTAGGATTAAATATGTTTGTTATGATCTTCTTTTATTTTCCAAAAGCTATATAACTATTATAGTAAATTTTAATGATAAAAGCAGGCATGATGATGCACGCCTGTAATCCTAACAACTCTGGAGGCTGAAACAGGAAGATTACAAGTTCAAAGCCAGCCTCAGCAATGGCAGGGCATTAAGCAACTCATTGTAAAGTTCATCCACCATTTCTCTAAATAAAATAAAAAATAGGGCTGGGGATGTGGCTCAGTGGTCAAGTGCCTCTGAGTTCAATCCCGAGTAGCAAAGAAAAAAGAAATTTTTAATTATAAAAAACTATAAGTAATAATGTACAAAAAAAAACATTTATTTTAGCATTTTGTAGAATACTACAATGTTGAGAATAATTTAAAAATCAACAATAAGAAGTTGGGAGAAAAGATTGTGTAGAATACTGCAATATTGAGAATAATCTAAATAATCAACAGTTGAAATTGGAGTAAAAAAAGATGTTATAAGAAGAAATTTATATAGTCATTGAAAATAATATTAACATTACATGGTATGCCATTAATGTATACATTTTCATGTTTTTATGTAGCAGGCAAAATTTATTTTTTTAAATTAATATCATTGACAGAAAGTTATCATATTATTGCTGGTTGTGGTGACACAGACTTATAATCTCAGTGATTTTGAGGAGGCTTAGGCAGGAGTATTGAAGTTTGAGGACAGAATCAGCAACTTAGGGAGATCCTGTCTTAAAAAAAAAAAAAAAGTGGGACTGGGGCTGTAGCTCAGCAGTAGAGCGCCTGCCTTGCACGTGTGAGGCACTGGGTTTGATCCTCAGCACCATATAAAAATAAATAAAGATATAAAAAAAAATTTCAACAATTAAAAAAAATTAAAAAGGGTTAGGGATATAGCTCATGGGTTCAATTCCCAGTACCACCATTTTTTAAAAGGAATTTCACTATATATTAACAGAGGTTTATCTAGATAGTTAAGATGATTCTAGTTTTTAGTTTTCTTCTTTGTATATAAATTTTCTACAGCATGCACAATTGTCTATGATCTATTATTTAGAACTATTATAGAGAAACTAATGTAAAACTACTGTGTGGTTTATTTCTGCAGTTCATGTTCTGTGGTGGAATGAGAGTGCAGATAGTCGTGCAGCTGGGAGGCATCAGTCTCATGAGGATCCCAGGGTCGTGGCAGCTGGTAAGCTATTTCACTAGGCATGGGTTATTTTTACAACAAACTTGATTTGCTCAATAACTTTATATGCCTTCTTATGAAATGTTTTCCAGTTCGGGAAAGTGTCAACTACCTAGTGTCTCAGCAGAATATGCTTCTGATTCCTGCATCATTTTCACCATTGAAATAGTTTTCTACTGAAACACAAAAGATTTCATTAATTGGCCTAAGATGTGTCTGCTAATGGTGCTTAAGTTCTTCCAAGAGAATTAGTCTCACTTTTATTTTAATGAGGTGGTAAGTTAATTTATTATGTTCCTTGCATTTTTTTAAAGCCAACTCTGTCATCTATTTATCACCACTTAAGGAAATAGTTCTATTCATTTTCTCCATGATGTGTCGGTGTTTGTTATATGTGAGACATAGTTGTCACTACTTCATGATCTTGATTTTTCATTTGATTCAGAATATCTTCTGTATTTTGAAAGCCCTTTGCTTTATAATATTTTCTCAAATTCAAATAATGATTTACATTTCCTCGTCTGACAATATTTTTAAATTAAGTACATATAATATATCTATCTTTTCATGTTTGTTTTTTCTGATATCTAAAACTATATTTTTACCCAGTAAAGTTTACTTTGTGATATTAAATGGGATTGACAAAAATATTAAATTAAATATATTTCTTTACTTTGGAAAAGTACAGTATCATATGTGTCATCTGTATTAACTGTGGGCTTCACATTAATTATTAGGTCATTCTAGAAAATAATATAATTAGCTCACATTATTACAGTTTCAAGGAAGACTTGGTTTATATGCTGAAATATGTTCATTTATAATTAATTTTACTAATTTTGACTTACCTTGTGTCACAAAGATCTTAAGACCTTTTTTTTAAAGAAATATTTATGATTATAGACATGTTTACTGTAATAAAAAATATATATATTCATTCTGATTTTTTTGACTTTGTGTTTTATAGTTATATCCTCTCTCTGGAGCCCTTACTATTGCTATAGTAACATAGTAATACTTTACCATAAATACTAAGTTACATCATGAAAACACCATTCTGACAACCCCCAGAAGCAGAGGTTCCTTTAGTACTACCATACTGCATTTTCTTTGAAACCTCTTTAATTTCCATTTTACTTAATGCCACTACATTCTAAACCAGGTTTAGTACTCCAAGGCTCTCTTGATATTCTGTATTTATAGCTATGTTATTTTATGTTTCTAAAATATTTTGAAACTTAAATAGTAAATAATTAATTAGCTTTTTAAGGAAAATGGAGAGTAGAGTTTCCTCTCATCTGTCATGCTCCATGTGCTCTGTAGTTTATCTGAACTATTATGCAAGGTGATATTATTCAGGAAAGGTAGGCCGTGGCAGTTTACATAGACTGCCTCAGTATTCTGTCCATGATGGTGTTACTGCTGTTGACCGGTGACAAGTCCTTGCTTCCCCAATGTTGAAGAATAACACCAGAGAAGCACGCAGAGGCAAGGTCAGAGTGGAAAATTATAAGTTTATTAAAGGACACCAGAAAAGACTTCTCCTAGAGGAAGAAGGGGACCCAAGAGATGGAAGTGCGGTTGTCTCTCCATTTTATAGTTTCTTTCAGTGATGGAATGTAGGTGGGAAGGCCCGAGGGGTGGGACACAGGTGGGCCAAAGAAGTAATCTGGTTAGGAAGGACTTCTGAGTTAGCACCTTCAAGTTTGCTGGGGGCTGTTCATTAATACTTCTTTGGAATAGGCTATCTTCATGTTTGCTGGGGGCTGTTCATTAACACCTCTTTGGGATGGGCTCTGGCCTTGGGCTTTTTCTTGGACTTCATTAACATTCCATGAGTTGTTTCAGGAATTCATTCTCAACATGGCCTCCATTTTAGATCTTACTGGATATTAGACCCGATTTACCTAACTACACTGACTACCTAACTTTAAATCTGGCTTCAGTGGTACTTGGAGATGGGGCCATTGGGAGGTAACTATGTTTCTGTGAGGAATTGGAACCTCCAAGATAGAATTGATGCCCTAACTTATAAGGGAATGATAAGTCCTGAGTTCTTTTTCCTTTGTGCCATGTGAAGAAACTAGAAAAAGGGACCTCATTGGAACTCAATCATGCTGGTACTGTTATCTCAGACTTCCTAGACTCTGGAACTGTGAAAAATGTTTGTTGTTTAAACTACAGTCTATGTTCTTCTGTTATGGCAGCCTAAAGTAAGACATTGTCTATCACCCCTGCCTTATTTTTGTCACTTATCATAATTAATATATTGCATATTTATGATTTGTTATTATTTGTCTTCTTCTACTAGAAACTAAATTCCATGACAGTGGGGGTTATTGTTTTAATCTTTGTAGTGTCATCACTGCCTGGAACATGGTAAGCCCTCACTATTTGTTGATTGAATTAACACATGGAATGTGCTGTGGTTTAAATATGGTTTGAGTATGTCCTCCTAAGATTCATGTCCTGGAAGCTGGTTTCCCATTGTAGTGGTGGTGTTGATTCTGCCTGTTATCGATGATGAATCCTGCTTCCCCACATGTTGAAGTTTGAACATTAGAGAAGCACGCCAAGGCAAGCATATGAAGCAGGGTTTATTTTAAAAGGGGTAACATAGACTTCTCCCGCAAGGGAGAAAGGGGCCATAGCTGGTATCCTGGTATCCCCAGAGTGGAGATGTTCTGACCTTTTTATATGGCCTAGGCTTTCTTTGTTCTCCTGCCTTTTCCTCTTTATCTTTCTCCTTCCTGCATAGGTGACTAGGCCCAGGAATGCTCAGTGGGAGGGCCAAAAGGTGGGTAACAGATGGGCTGAAGGGGGGAGAGCTGGATGGAGTAGCCAAGACACATTAACAACCTTATAGCTCACTGTAGGAAGGGGAAAATCCTGGGAAAGATTACCTGGGAAAGTTTACCTGGGAAGCAGGTTGGATCAGGAACAGATTCTTGATAAGGGTGGAGGAAGGGCTCTGAAGGAATTAACATTTTAATCCCTCAGGGGACAGTCTCCAATTTCTTAGACTCAAAATTGGCCTTCTTGATCCTACCTGACTCAATTTACCTATCTACACTGACTGCCCATCTAATTCTGGCTTCAGTGTGATGGTGGAACATTTAAACTATGAGGCCTAGTGTAAGGTAGTTAGGTCATGGGGTATACATAAGATGACTAACGTAGTTTTCTTGGGACCTTTGTTCTCTTGAGAGTAAGTTGTTATAAAAAGAGCAAGCCTACCTCTCAATCTCTCTGGGTTCCTGTCTTGTGTGATCTCTCCCTCTTTCACATACTTCCACCATAATGCCATTTTCTATGAGGCCTTTTAACAGGGGCTTGATCAGGGGCCACCTGATCTTGGACTTTCATCCTCTAAAACTATGAGCTTTATATATTACCCAGCTTCAGATATTTTGCTGTAACAATAGAAAACAGACTAATACAAGATGTTTGAGTTTAAAAAAAAAAAAAAGTTCATCATCCTCCACACACTTTATGTTGCCCACCATCAACAGTGGTTTACCTGACTGATATTGGAGGTGCCTTACCAACCTCTGGAAAGTATTCCTGAAACACACAGTGAATGATCGATTCAATGAAAGTTCTTGCTATAGGTGCAAAAATAATACTAATTGCCTGCTGGTTATAAGTTATTATCCCAGACTGTGGAGGAAGAGAAACAGATTATGTGACCCATCTGATCTGGTTCCACACCCACCACATAACTCCCAGAGGAAAAGTAAATGCTGTTTATAGACTCACCCTCTGAACTTCATTCTCAGCACTAGCTCCTTACCAACTGAGCAAATCCTACACAGCTGACTGTTATGGCAACTGAAATCGCAGTTGATTCAGTCTTCAAAGGAGTGTGAACCTGCAGTATGTTAGAAGAAGCATAACGCTCCTTAGAGAGACATTTTTTCATAACTTCCATCACCTAGAATGCTATTTTTCTGGGTATCATCTTAAAAGAAGCACACATTATTCCAGGAGACCATGGTTTGGTTTCTTGTTTGAGGTAGTGGCCCAAGACCCTAAGGTAAAGTGAATCATAATGTGTGTAAAGCTTCTGATGAAAAAAATATATATATCCTAAAGGACTAAAAACAAAGCTAAAAAAAATCCATAAAGGAAAGAAGAGATGATGCCAGCTGTAGCCTATACTATTAACAGACAAGTAAATAATCCAAATAAAAGTTTTTGTAACTCAGCTATTGTCCTGTTTTTCTGCTTCTCTTCAAAACCCCCTGCAGATTTGTGTATATTCACTGTATCCTCATCTCTTGTTCTTCCTGAATCCATTCTAGATAGGTCTGCATCCTGTCAATCTGTTGCAGTGATTTACAAAAGAGACTTCTTATCAAGTGTAGTGGTCATTCTTAGCCTTTACCTTACTCATCTTCTCAGAAGTTTTTGGACATAATTTACAACTGCCTTCCCCAAACATAATGTTTTGAATTTCAATGTATGGCATCATACTCCAATTTTCCTCCTCCTCTGTGGCCAGTCCTTCTCCATTACCTTGCTGGCTTTTCTTATAAATCTCAGGCTCAAGAACATTCCCTATTTTTTGCTCACTTTACCTAAGTTCATTCAGTCTCATGACTTAAAACTCATATGTACATATGGTTGATTTGCACATTTTTATCTTCTGTCATTGTCTCATGAGCTCCATAGTGAAATCCAAATACCTTGGTGGCAAAATCCTATGAGACTTGGTTCCTGCCCTCTCTAGGATTCCATCTCCTATGACTTCTCTCCTTGCTAACTCTGCACCAGGAACATTGGAATATTCCCTCTCTTTTAATCTCCCTCAACTTGCAAAGCTTTTTTCCCCTTAGAGTTTTGTATTAGGTGTTCTTTCTTCCAGGAGTATTCTTGTCACCCACCTTCAAATGTTGCTCCTGCTTATTAAACTTGGATCTAAACTTAAAGGCCACTCCTCAGGCTGTTTCTGACTCCTTACCATCATTAACCCATCACCACATTTTTTTTTTTTTGTAGCACTTATTGCATCAGATTTGTTTGTCTACACATACATTGTGCTTCTCCACCAATATATTACTTTAGTAAAGCCAGAATTCTGTTTTCAACGTTGTAGCCCCAGAATCTAGAAGAGTGATTGACACATAAAACTAGATATTATTTAAATTATGAACAATGATGGTGAAAGCAGATTTTACAAGGACAAATCTGGTATCTAACTTAAACAAAAAGAACCTATATCATTTAGCCCTATAACTTTGTACAAATTCCTTATTCTCTGAGTTACAAATTATTCACATGTAAAATGATACTACTTAACTCACAGAACAGGATCAGTTGAAGATCAAAGAAAGTGTCTGACAACACAGTAAAAACTTGAAAAAAGTTGCTGGTTTTCTTAGACTTTTCCATTCTTAATATATGCATTCCAAAGGGTCTAGAATTCTTGGAATCTAGAAAAAGTCCATATAGGCTTTTGTCTAGGTTTTGGACAGTACTGACAGTATTTTCATCTACATTAACTGCTGTTTTGTTTTTCTATAGTTTTTTGTTTGTTTCCCTCTCTATTGGGATTTTTTGCAAATAGTGTTTTCTATCATTTTGTTAAAGTCACTTGATGGGAACATTGCAGGGGAGGGTGAAGTTGTGATGCAGATACAGAGGAGGCATCTAAGCTACTCAATAGCCAAGAAACTTCTGTACACAAAGTTCAGATCTGTGCCTCAGCAGAAGGACCACTTAACCATGTGTCATTGCAGCTATTCCAAAGAGATCACAGTGGAACCAGGACTCATGTGCTGCCAGAAAAAGGACTGTTTGACAGAAGTTCTTCAAGTATCAACATAAGCATACATCGGTTTATGAGACTGGTTCTTAATGAGCTATCAAAAGTACATCCGCATTGTCTTATCATA